TCGATGCCTTAATAGACGAAATGGATAAGGAGGATTAAATTATGATAATATTCGAAAAAATCGATAGTGGTGATAAGGTGTTTATCGACCGTAAGACTGGCGGTAAATACTACAAAGAGAAGCTTCAGGCTTTGATTAACAGTAGCGACATGGGCGTAAATAGCGATCGTGGACAGGACTTTAGCTGGCGTTTAGCACCAGAACAGAAGGCTATCATCAATAGCTGGAAACAAGACCCGCTTAAAATAGACGAGGTATCTACTTATACTAAGGTTCCAGTAGAGAGCTTGATGGATTCTGACTTCTTGTCATTCCTAGTTCGTATGGACGAGCTAGCTGATGGCGCTGATGTTGAGGTTGATAAAGGAAAGTCTGATGCTGAGGAAGATTACCGTAGGCGTGTTAAGGCAGCTCAGGAGAGAGCCTCACAAGTGCTAGAACCTGAGACGCTAGAGACACCAACACTGGATGAGCCAGAAGTTGAGACACTAGAACCACCTATCGAAGTTGCTCCAGTAGAAGCTCCAGCTCCACGCAAACGCGCATCTCGCAAAAAGAAGTAAACCATGGAAGTGCCTGCTCACTTCGGGCCGAGGGATTATCAGGCGAAGTTCTTGGCGGATATTCGCGACAGATGGTTCGTCGTTATGGAGTGGGCGAGGCGCGCAGGCAAGGGCCTGACTACATTCGTATACGCAGCTCAACGTATGGTTGAGGAGCCAATGGGTGTAGTCATTGTTTACCCGACCGCAGAGCAGGGCTACCGTTCATTTTGGAATAACATTGAGAACGATGGCTTTAAAACTATTGAACACATCCCACCTGAGTTGAGGTCTAGCTTTACTAGCACTAAGGACAGCATGTCGATGGTGTTAAAGAACGGTTCGACACTCGACCTGCTAGGCTCTAACGCAGACCCCGAGAAGTTTCGTGGTAACAATATCAAGCTATTCATTCTATCGGAGTTCGTTGACATCGACAGCCGACTCCTCGACATTATTGAGCCTATTGTTATCGCCAATGGCGGTCAAATCATTATAGAGAGTACCCCGAAGATTGACGGCATAAGTGGTGCTACATTCCTCAAGCTGTTCAAGGCGGCAGAAACAGACCCCGAGATGTATGCTGGTAAGGTATACGGCAGGGAATACTTGAGCCAAGTTCAGCTAGATAGGGCTCGCAAAGCGTGTATCGCTAAGTGGGGCAACGACTTTATGTACCGTCAGGAGTACGAGCTGGACGAGGGTCAGGCGTTGGAAACGGCGTATTATGCAAACATTATGTCTCAGAAGGAAAAGGCGGGAGGTATAGGCAAGTTCCCTTATAATAGTGAATATCCAGTCTATACAGCATGGGACTTAGGTGGTGGTAGCGACAGCACGGCGGGTGTATTCTTCCAGTATTACGACAAGAAGCTCAGGGTAATCGACTCATACGAGACATCAGTTGTAAACGACCAGCTACTGGTCAACTTTATTAAAAGTAAACCCTATAACTACGCATGGCACTTCTTCCCCCATGACGGTGCGAAGCGTGATAGCGATGGTGTCCAGCGCATAAGCAAACTTCATAGCCTAGGGTTGCCAAACTCTAGCCTGCTGACAAGACGGCGCAAGGAGGCTGCCCTGATAGACGCTATAGAACTAATGCTTAAACCTACTACTGTAATTAACCAACCTTTCACACTAGGCTTCCGTGAGAAGGTTAACCTTTACAAGAAGAAGTGGAACCCTCACACTGGCGATTACATCGGTCCCGACCACACTACGGCTAGTCATTACTCGGATGCTTGGCGCTATGTTTCAGACGCTATTAAACAGTACTTTCGTGCTGACGGTAGCTTCGTGATGAGCCCTGTAGCAGTCGATGCGATGCCAGCATATCTCGAAGATGATGAGATCAACTGGGATATCTGACGAATATGCTTGCGCTTTTACTAACATTAGGGGTATAATATGAGTGTAATATTTAACATTTAGAAAGAAACTATACATTATGGCTCAAAATTATGGCACACGTACAGCTAGCTTGATGGACAAACCACTTGCCCTCAAGTCAGTCTTTGCACCCTACGTAGGTGACAATGGCTACAAGTTCACTAGCTCAGGTACAATCCAAGTTATCAACACTGATGACGGCTCTCTTAGCAACTATAACGAAGCAAGCACGACTGGTGTTACTGTTGGTCTAGTTGGAAACAACTTGCAAACTCTAACCTTGGCGTACAACAAGGCTATGTTCGAAAGAATCCAAAAGACTCTTATCCAAGACACACCTGTTGCTGGTTTCGCTGCTAGCTGGGCTCGACAGCAAATCGAAAAAGTTTTCGTTCCCGCACACGACGTTTATTCACTTAATAAGGTTGTAGCTGGTCGTGCAGTTGCTAACGATGTAACGGTTGCCCTAACAGGCGGTCACGGTGGCACGCTACCAACATCAGGCCTTAGTAAGAAATTTGGTGAAGCGTTCTTGAACATCCACGCTGAAGGTGCTGACGCAAGTCAAACCGTTGCATGGGTAGCAGATACCTTCGCTAATGAGCTTGCAGATCAGATTACCTTCACAGGTTCTGACGCTGGTTACAAGGAAGCAAAGAACACTGGCTTTCTTGGTAAGTTCAAAGGAATCATGTGTGTCGCCACTCCTGACAGCTACTTCACTGCTCTTGGCACGAAGGTAGTCTATGTTGTGATGGCGGACAAGCGAGCAATCGTTAACGTGACTCCGAAAATGAGCCCACAAGACTACAAGGTTGTTACTGAGTTATCAGGCTTCCGTGGTGTTGAGGTTCAAATCAGTGACCGATCAGATACCTTTGTCCTAGACAAGAAAACGGTTAACATCTCTGTTATCCGTGAATCTGGTTCAACTGGTTCTTAGTTAGACCCACCTCACAGCAAATTCAGCCCCTTACTGGGGCTGTTTTGTTATCCCGCCTCATAGAAAAATAGTTGTGTTGTAATTTAGTCAACAGTTATGGAGTCTATCAATCGGCGAGTTTTTTCAATTGGGTCAGGGTGCGGATAGCCTATAGCTATCGCTCCGCAGAACAGTGACTTGTCCCATGGCGAGAAGCGTGTGTAGAAATACTCACGGTCATTGCTCCGCACCTGCGGATTAACGAAAGCGGTATGCAGACCTAGCGAGGTAGCTACGAGCATGGTCGTCTGAGCCATGACACCAGCATCGAGATATGAGTTGTAGTTCACCTCGTCCCCGTTGTCTCCACCTTTGTAGGCATCAGGGTTTGCAAAAAGCATAAGCACTGTTGGTGCACGATATATCCACCCACATCCACCTACTAGTAGACCATCCAACAGAGCCTTGTCATCTCTAGCTGTCACGACCTTGACTCGCACGCCGAATCTGTCGCAACTAGAAGGGCAATGACGCAATGCGTCGAGTATTTGGTCGAGAGTTGCCTGTTCCACCTGTTTATCGTCAAATCGTCTATTAGAGTGACGCTCTTTCACGAGAGCTATCAACTCGTCACGCTTGCCCCCAGGATGTGATTGATGAGCGAGGTAGCGTGTTTGGAACTCATCCATCTTAACGTCTTTGATTTCTGCGCCCGTACTACTTTTTACCATAATAATCCCTTATCCTTTGCTCCATGTCCCATTTCCATTTAAGAGCTTGTAATTTTTCTTCTCTGTCGAATGTTTGCCGTCTGCGTCCGAGTCTTGCTGCGTGGCTGTCTAGGCGACGCAGATACATGGTGCATGGCTTGTCAGTTTTAACGAATCGTGCACCAGCCTCCATCGCATCCACAACGAATGGGGCGTTGGGATAATCATGCTCGGCATAGGGGTGCAGTCTCCAGAGACGCTTGCGGAATGGCGAATGACCTACAATAAAGCCGTGACCGTTGTGGAACTCAGCCATCTCTTGTGGGGTTTTTGGTTTATGGATTGTGATAACAGGGTCTTTAGTCCACATCATGGCTGATTGCCACATTATGCAGATATAGTCGGCATCAGCTTCATAACGCTTAAATATGTCGATAGCGTCAGGTAGTATCACATCATCAGCCGACAAGTACATTATCCATTCGGTGTCCGTCGGTTCTACCGCAGCATTACGCATAGGTCCCATCAGCGCAGGGGCATCTGTTCTTATCAGTTTATATTTTAAGTGGCTAAAATCCTGAGCGATCTCATATTCCATCGCATCTGTTAACCCGTGGTTTTCCCCGAGGGCTATTGTGATTGCAGTCGGTTTCGTCTTTAGATGGTCTATCGCTTCCAACCATTGATAGATAAATCTACCATAACCGTTCCACGCTGCAGTAACGATACCTATGTTCATTTGAATGTCTCCATTATTAGTTTACCTGCATCAGTTTCTTCAAAGGTTTCCTCGTGGGTAGATATGAACGGCACCTCCGGTATTCGGCCATCAGTCTTTACCTTTACGTCATATTCGAGCTTTTCACCACCTAAATGAGCTATGTTGGCATACATGGATATTTTATTCAGTTTCTCGGTTATTAGGGGTCGTAGGATCTTCCATGTTTTCTTGTTTATCACGAATGGTACATGCACCTCGTAGCAGAGTGGCTCTGCTATACCCCACTTTACCAGTCTGTCATGCGTATCTTGCATACGCTTTGTATACCAGCTAGACATGGCATCGGTGTCTTCGTAGTTGGCGATAACGTCTTTGTAGGTACCGCGATGGTATATTGGTAACTTTTCGATAGGTTCCATAACGAACATATCATCGTGCATTAGGATGAAGTCTTTGGAGATTCGCTCGTCTTCGCAGGCCATGTCGATTATGTTTAGAGTATTTTGTGCTATGAATTTTGTTTGTTTATAGTATATGAAGTTTGCGCCATGCTCTAGGTTGGGTTTATCTCCAATTATGAAAACTCCCTCGTGGGGCAAATTCTTCAAAGAACGGAGCGTATAAAGCAGTTCGTTGCTCGTACTTTGGATGTACGGAATTACGATATCCATGTGCTTATTATACACGCTTATGGTATAATGTGGGTACATATGCCTGATTTAGAACTCATAAATGGAAGTGATGGTGTCGGAGAAGCGGTACGCGCCTCGGTAACTAATCTCCGTACCGCAGGCTCTACTACGATACAAGTTGATGCCGTGACAAATTGGCCGGCTAAATTTATTGCCACCGCTGGCTCTCTGTTATCAGACGGTACGCTAGACCCCTCTACAGCTCTTGTATTTGAGGGTAGTCTAGATGGTTCAGATATATCTATAGACGCGATAGCTCCTGGCTACACGGATCAGGGCAACACCGTCAGCGATATAGTGGTAATCAAGCCGGCTACTCATTGGTCTGACAATTTGCAGGACTTATTAACTGTTACTCTCGATACAGACGGCACCCTTAAGACTGACGCGGTAGATGTTACCGCCGTATTAGCTGATGAAGTGGTTACTGGCGCTAAGATTACTGCTACGGATGGCTTGTTGAGAAACGCTTACTACTATACTTATGACGGTACAGATATATTCATCAATGGCGTTGACCAAAATAACGCATCTAATGCTATTACATGGACGAAGCCATCAGGACTCAAGTTTATTGAGGTTGAAGTTCAAGCTGGTGGCGGTGGCGTTGGTCTAGCGGGTTCAACTGTTGGCGGTGAAGCATCGGAAGCATCTGGTGGCGGGGGCGGTGAATACGCGAAGATTAAGATAGCAGCGGCATCTCTTGGCTCAACAGAGACAGTAACCGTTGGAGCTGGTGGAGCTGCAGGAACTTCTACGAATAATGGTGGTACAGGTGGCACAAGTAGCCTTGGGACGCTCGTTACTGCTGTTGGCGGTAGCGGCGGTCAATATATGGCAGGTGCATCAGGTAGTTTGTATAACCTCGGTGGTCTTGGCGGAAGTGGCGGTACGGGCACAGCTAACTTACGCATCCGCGGTGATGACGGTGGGGCAGCGAGTGTTAGTGGTGGTACAACCTTCGGTTATGGACGAAAATCATTTGGCGGCGGCTCACATCTTGGTAGTTCTGTCTTTCCGACTGGTAGCGCATCAGAGTCAAACTCTGTTGTTGGACGCGCTTATGGAGGCGGTGCTGCGGGAGGTAGGAATCCTGCATCTACTAGCGCTAAAGCTGGTCAAATTGGTGGCGCTGGAATTGTTATCATTAAAGAATACTTCTAGGTGGAATATGGAAAAACCAATGGGTGAAAGGATAGCATCGGTGGAAACAGAACTAAAAACACTAATTCAGGCTGTTTCTAAAATGGATGGTAAGTTCGACGCTTTCCTGTTGGTGGCAGTCACGCATCCCCAGCTCCATGAAAAACTAGAAGAACAGAACGGCAAAATTGCCAGCCTTGATGAAAAGATTACTGCGGTAGACAAAAGACGATGGGTGCAAAATACCCTGTCTGCTGTCCTTGGTTCTGTATTAACTGGACTTATCGGATTTATATTCTTGATACTATCTAAGGTGATAGAACTATAAGGAGTAATCATGCCAATAGATCCTGATTACTTGAAAGCCAGTAACGGTAGTGGCGAGGCTGTCCAAGCTATTCTCGTAACCGATCGTTCGGTCGGCAACTCCGAGTTCAACGTGGACTCAGTTCTTAACTGGCCAGCGAAGTTTATAGCTACAGTAGGTACGCTTGACGCTAGCACTGGTACTCTCGACCCTAACACTATCACAGTATTTTTCGGTAGTCTTAGTGGTAGCTACATCGAAATAGATAGTTTTGCACCTGGCTATTCAGACACTGGCAATACTCAGGATCAGATTATAGTCCTAAAACCCACTACAGCATGGTCTGATGGCATAGCTGAAACTATACAAGCTAGCGGTAGTGGCGATATGTCGGCCGCTGTTTATGACCCAACCAATGTAGCTAGTGATGCTTTCGACCAAGACAACATGGCAGACGGTACAACCAACAAGAATTACACAGCTACCGAACAGAGTAAGCTGGCCGGCATTGAGGATCTGGCAGACGTAACAGACACGACTAATGTTACCGCCGCTGGTGCATTGATGGATTCAGAACTTGCAAGTATTGCTGACGTTAAAGCCCTAGACCAGAGCGTAATAAGTGGTGCATCTCCTGTATTCGCTACAACTAATATGACAGAGGGTACAGACAAGAACTTTGTAACAGATGCCGAGGCTACTATAATCGGTAACACATCAGGGACAAACACTGGCGACCAAGACATCTCGGGGATCGCTACAAATGCTAGTGCGATAGCACTCAGGCAATTAATATTAGCTGAGGGTGCTTTTGTAGATGGCGATAAGACAAAGCTCGATGGCATAGAGGATGGTGCAGACATTACTGACACTACCAACGTCACGAGTGCAGGGGCGTTAATGGATAGCGAGGTGACTAACCTTGCTCAAGTTAAGGCTTTCAGTTCTGCTGACTACGCTACGGCAGCTCAGGGCGCTTTGGCTGACTCTGCTACACAACCAGGCGACCTAGCCACTGTAGCCACTACTGGAGCATACAGTGACCTGTCAGGTACTCCAACCATCCCAACGTCCGTAGACCAGCTTAACCCTAGCCAAACAAGTAATGCTGGTAAATTCCTCAAGACCGATGGCACAAACGCCACGTGGGAGTCTATTCCTGGTGGCGGTGATATGCTTATTGCTACCTATGACCCCGCAGGTGTTTCAGAGCAATTAGTCGGATTGACGGCTACCCAGACCCTCACCAACAAAACCATCAATGCCAACAACAACACCATCACAAACCTTGCCCACGGTGCCGAAGTTGATGATCCCTCCAGCGGTGTTCACGGTGTCTCTGGTTCTGTTGTTGGTACCAGTGACACGCAGACGCTGACGAACAAAACCCTGACTGCGCCAGTCCTAAACACAAGCATAAGCGGTACAGCGTTCCTCGATGAAGATAACATGGCGAGTGATTCAGCTACGAAGGTAGCATCACAGCAATCTATCAAAGCCTATGTAGATGCTGCGATAACAGCCGCAAAATCAGCATTATATCCTGTTGGCTCATATTATATCAACGAAACAGACTCAACAAACCCAGCGACCTTGCTTGGTTTCGGTACTTGGTCTGCTGTAACTGACGTATTCCTAGTCGGTCATGGTTCAACTTATACTACTACTGGCGGTTCAGCGACTGCAACTTTAGTTGCGAATAATATACCATCGTTGACACTTAATGGTATTACTACCTATAAGAACGGTTCTTCAGACACAGCAAATCGAATATCGGGCAACAATACAGGTGGTTCAGGAGTTTCCACTAACGGAAGTGTTACTCCAAGTTACACTAATGGCTCTCCCACGGCAGTCGATACAATTCCACCATATCAAGCGACATACATATGGATAAGGACAGCATAATTTGACGTTTATTCTATAGGCGAGTAAAATAGGGCTATGACATTAAACGTAAGCAGATTGTCTAAGTTTAAAATCTACTATGAAAGCCATCCAAAGAGATGACTTTAGCAAGAAGAATAATTATAGCGGCAGGACATGGAGGCACTGACTCTGGTGCTGTTGCTAGGGGTCGTACAGAAGCCAAAGAAGCGGCGGACATCGTGAACCGTACTGTTGCACTACTGAAAAAAGATGGTCGCATTAAGGTGGTTCAAGTGCCTAACAGCTTAGGATTGAAAGCATCTGTTAGCTGGGTGAACGCTCGATACAAAAAGCTAAGCTATGGACTCTCGCTAGAGGTACACAAAAACTCAGGTGGTGGGACTGGAACGGAAGTCTGGTATCCGTCATGGGGTGATTCAGAATCAAGGAGTCAGGCAAAGGCTATGGCTAACGTCTTGGCGAGGGAATCTAAACTAAAGAACCGAGGCATAAAAGATGCTCGCACTAATAGGCATGGAAAACTATACTGGACTGATGACACCAACACTTATGCCCTATTAGCTGAGGTTGGTTTCATAGACGTAGACCCTGTAGGTGCGACTGCTAACAAAAGATACGCTGAGGCTTTGTTTAAGGCGATTCTAGCCGTATGGGGACTAAAACCTAAACCAAAGCCTACTCCGAAGCCCCAGCCAAAGCCCACTCCAAAGCCTGAACCCAATTACAGTAAACTTAACCATGAGATTTTAACTAAAATATGGAACTGGCTAAAGTCAGTATTCAAAATAGGAGAATAGTATGAAAGCATCAAAAGTAACCATAGACCAATGGCAACAAGTAGTAATAGCTGGACTATACGTTGGCGTATCCGCAGTCCTAGCATTCTTCATCAGCGTAGTAACAGAGAACCCTGACTTGTTCGGGACACTGACGCCTGTAGTCAACGTGGTATTAGTGACCGTTAAAAAGGTATTTTCAGAAGTATGATTGAAGTAGTCCTACTAGGCATCATAATCGTACTAGGCGTAATAACTATAGTATCTGCGGTAAAGAAGTGATGTAATGAACGAGCAAGAACCTCAGCCAAAGCCTTTGATAATCGAAATAGGCGATGAGAGGTTTGAATGCTTGCCCGATAACACTGTTGCAAAAATCCACCAAGAAGAACACGAAGCCTACGACTGCATCCTGCACGTTGGTGAAACAAAACAAGTAGCCCTCTTTAGAGAAAACTTCTCGGAGGGCTTTGATGATTTGATAGAGATGATGATGAACATGGGATTCGTTGTTTCGTTAGATGACGATCCGACAGAGTTTGATAAAAACTTGTACCTCAATTCCTTTGGTAGAGATCCCAAACACAAGACTACAATTCAGGAAAAAGACCTAACCCCTCGACAGAAAAAGACCGTCAAGTTTCTACGTTATATTCTAAAGCATGAACATCTAACCCCAGAGGACTTTGACGGCTCTGGAGATATGCAGATATGAGCCATGAAAACCTCGGTAAGAATATTGTGGCTGGCACTGTGGCTGGCATCCTCGCCTATGATGTGGTTGCTCCACATGGTCATACGTGGTCGGAGGGAGTAGACAAATTCATAGAAAAGCACCCTGTTATCACAAGAATGGCTATAGGCTACATAGCCTTGCATCTAGCAAACGGCTTTGAGGCTTTAGGAATAGAAAAGTTAGACTTCTTTCACGTTGCTACTCAATTAAAGAAAATAGTATAATAGTCATGGCTATCACTAGCCTTTCCCGCTCCCTTTTTAGTGGCAGTATAGGCAAGCAAAAATCCCACGTATTTTCAGCGTGGGATGTTTGCTATTCAGCATCTTGCTAAAAGGAGCCCACAGACATTTATCTGCTGATGTTTGCTAAAAGCTCACACCCTTTTACATGGCAAGTCTACTGTGCCTTTATTACACTCCTACTGTAAAACTGTCATTGCTCATATTTCTATCCTTATTGTGTAGTACTTGTTGTCATACCTTTATTATAACATTAAAAAGCACCAGCTTGTGACCAGTGCTTTATGCAAGTGGAGGGTAATCTACTCACGTATTTATTTTACCATACGAGAGTCTTGTGGAGCTAGTAACCTGTAAAAGCAGTCATCTACACGTTACACAGCCCCACAGGACTCTCGTATCATCTTGTAAATGTTCTTGATAAGCAGGGTCGAAAACGAGCCAGCTCGCAGTCTGGCTCCTTTGGTTCTATTGTAGCAGTTCCTTGCGCTCTTTTTTACCTCGTTTGTCGCGTATTAGCTTGTTCGCGTAGTCAGTTAGTCCTAGCTTTTGAATGTTAGACATTAATATCGGATATAGCTCGATATAGTTATCCTCTATAAAGGATGCTAGTTTTTTGTCCTTTTCCCTGATTCGATCCATGAACATAGCAAACGCTCTAGTTCTTACCCCTCTGTCCGTATAATCTCGCCCCATCGCGTTCCCTTTCTTGATTGTACTCTAATGTTATAGCTACTAAATTCTTGATAACTTCATTACCCTCGGCATCTATGAAGTGCATCTTAGGAGGTGCGGACAATCGAGGCTTGAGATTGTATCTCTTTATGTACCACTCGATTGCCCTATACTCGTTAACCCTCACTGAATTGTTTTTTGCCCCATTGCTTGTCGATGTTTTCGTTAAGGGTCAAGAATGTATATGTGCTTTTCTTGTCCTTACGATCCTTCAACTCGTAGGTGGAGATGTTCGGGTTTAGATACGCAACCATCTTAACCTTAGTGTCGGTCGAACCCGGAATCCAAGTCATTAGCTCCTCGGCAGACATGTCTGTTTCGTCGCTATTGAGATTGCGGACTAATTGCTCGATCTCATCGTTTAGGTTGAATCCACCACCTGCGTTGAAGAAATCCTCGCCTAATGACAGTTTCTCGACCTCTACATCCTCACTAATAGTGATAATGTTTTTGTCCTTATTATACTTGAGCTTGCCGTTGCGTGCACCAGCGTATAGAGCGTTGGTGATAATCAGCGGACTATATCCTAGAGTACCAGCTATGAGATTAATGTTGTTAGTGTGCATTACCATGCTGGCTACTAGGATTTCGTTTGTTATATTATCAATCATACAAATTTCTCCTCTTTATTAGTTGGTATTTCACCGCTGAACTCGAACACGCTCTCGGTAGAGAATGGCTCGATTGCAAGCACGGCTTCTTCTTCTTGTTTTATTTCAGCTATACGCTCGTCGTCACGGTTAACGCGGATTACGATGAATCGTCCAGTGTTACCATTACCCGCAGCGTAGTCTACAAAATCCCAGCCGAACGCCCACATCTGACCTTGCATCTGGTCGTAATGCTCACGCTTAACTTCGCGTGTTGAGACTACTTCTGACCATTCTTTGTCGAATAGCCACTTGATCTCGACTCCACCGTTCTTGCCGACAATGCGTCGGTCAGGACTAGCTACAAACCATTTATTATAAGCACAACCGACTTTCTCGACTGCCACGCCCATTTGTGAGCTATATTGGTCAGCCACGTAGTCTTCGTTGTCTATACCGGCTTGCATAGCTCCGTTAACGTAACCTTCGAATGGAACTCCGAACGCTTTGCTAAACGCTATCTTCTTCTCTACTTCTTTGCGTCCAGCTAGGTATTGACCCTTGACACCTTTTGCCATGTATGCGCCAATTTCACTCGCTCCTAAACGGGGCGCACGGATAGCTAGCCACTCTGGTGAGCGCTGCGGTGCATCGGAATAATCGAATCCCTTTGCTGGCGTGATTTGTTTTACTTTAACCATAACTTCCTTTCATTGTGGTTGAGCGTATGCGCGGGGGGTGCATTATCCCTAAACTGCTGGTTAGCCCTTGGTGGCTGACTCGCGCCAGCTCCAAGCAACAGTTATCCAGTAGATTTATCCGATAAGCCTTTTGCCGCTAAGCTACTTGGTCTACCATCTTGGGGTTCAGAGCTCCACCCCCTCCGACTACGCTCAACCGAATTGTTAAATATTACTCGAACGGTACTTCGTCGTTTGATATTGGCTGGGCTGATGACATGATCTGTTCAGCGGTTTGCTTGCGAGGTGATGGCGGATAGCCGTAGATATTCGCTCGCTTGTAGAATCCACCATTTGGTTTCTGTTGTCCGTCGGTGTCTTCGTAAACCTGAATGAAGGCGTCCTTCTTTTCAAATTTCTTCAAAAACTTATCATCAATCTGATCCGTGTCAGTGATAGCCCGGAAGGATTCACGCGCCTTGTCTTTTTGTGCATCAGTTTCTTGGTTATGCACGACGATACCGCCCATAATGCTCAAGGCATACTTAGCAGCTTTGTCCGTACTAAACCATAGCCTAGCGTTAGTTTCCTGGTCCTCTTGACCTAATACAGTGAACTCAACGTATTCTTTACCGGCATCAGTTACACCGCGTTCAGCTTTAGTGATGATTACTTCAAACTCACCTTCATCGAACCACTTACCTGTACGTGCTTCAAACTTCTCGTCTGTCATGTCTACTTTTACCATTATTTCTTTCCTTTTTCTGGCGCGTAAAACGCCGTTATTGTTTTATTCACTTCCCGCAAGTCATTCGGCACGGTTGGCGTGTCAAACATCCCTAGTGGTGCTTTAACGCCTGAGCCATCAGCCTTGGTACGGAAAACAAAATCTTCGGATTGGTCATCATATATTGCCTCTAAGACAATATTAGTGACACCTGCTGGGTTGTACTTTTCAGAAACCATTTTACCAGTAGTTTTGAAATGTAGCTTACCATCTTCGGTCTGTTCGGTGTGAGCCATGACGTAAAATGTCTGGTCACTATCTTTGTTCAAAACGGCATTGAATACGTTTACCATGCCGAGTGCATTACGAGCGAACTTACCATAACCATTCTCATTAATGGTAGCAAATTCGAAGTTGCTCATCAAATAGTTAGCATCATCAAGTACCATGATTGGCTTATCCATGCCGTTGATCCATTGAATAACCTTTTCATAGCTATTCGTCTTGTTAACGGTAATATCAGTCTTGAATG